CCCCAGCTTGTATTTTCGCCGCCACTAACAACGCTCAGGAGCAATCTACCACAGATATCTGGCAGTGCATTTGCGAGTGCGTCCGGCGAGTTGTGATTGACTCGAACGTAGATCCAAGCCTCATTAAAGGCGTTGGCTTCGACGCTACTTGCTCGCTTGCTGTCTTTTCCGCCGACACGGATGAACCCGTACCCGTCACTGGCCCAGAGTTCACCAACGATGGCCAAGACCGCAACGTTATTCTCTGGCTCGACCACCGCCCCGTTGACGAGACTGCACTGATCAACAGCACCAAGCACAAGCTCCTCAAATATGTTGGTGGCAAGATGAGCATCGAAATGGAGATCCCCAAGATTCTTTGGCTCAAGAATAATATGCCTGCAGAGCAGTTTGCGCGCTGCAAGTTTTACGATTTGGGCGACGCCCTTACTCACTTGGCCACTGGTAATGAGGCCCGTAGCTTCTGCAGCACAGTCTGCAAGCAGGGATATGTCCCGATCGGCGTTGATAATAGCGAGAAGGGCTGGCAGGAGGATTTTTTCGAGACTATTGGCCTCGGGGAGTTGTCCAAGAACGATTTTGAGAGAATGGGAGGTGTTCATGGTGTGGTGAGTTGAATAATCCGCGAGCCTTGATGCCAATTCATCCTGACGAATATCTGCAGAATGGAGCATATTTCAGTGCCGGTGAGTCTGTCGGCACATTGAGCCGCCAGGCCGCTTACCAGCTGGGTCTTCCCATGGGCATTGCTGTAGGCAGTGGCGTCATTGATGCCTACGCAGGTTGGATTGGTACCGTTGGTGCCAAGGTCGACCTTGGTGATGATGAACTCAATGCCAATGTCCCTCACAACGATCTTTCACAAGCCTTCACTCGCTTGGCTGCCGTAGCAGGTACCTCAACTTGCCATTTGGCCATGTCCAAAGACCCTGTCTTTGTTCCTGGCGTTTGGGGCCCATACCGAGATGTTTTGCTCCCTGGCTACTGGCTGGCTGAGGGTGGCCAGTCTGCCACTGGGGAGCTTCTGCGACACATGTTGGATATTCACCCGGCGTACAACGAGACTTGCGCGCTCGCCAAGGCCGAAGACAAGCACATTTACGATTTCTTGAACGCTCACCTAGAGTACATGGCCGAGAAGCAAAATGCTCCTGGCATTCCTTACCTTGGGCGGCATCACTTCTTCTACGGTGACTTGTGGGGGAACCGGTCCCCAATCGCTGATCCCAACATGAAGGGATCAATGATCGGCCTTGACAGCGACAAGAGCACCGACAACATGGCTTTATGGTATTATGCCACCATGGAGTTCATTGCCATGCAGACCCGCCAGATCATTGAGCAAATGAACACGGCCGGCCACGAAATCTCATCCATCTTCATGTCCGGTTCTCAGTGCCAGAATCCCGTGCTGATGAATCTGCTTGCCACAACCTGCAGCATGCCAGTCCTTATTCCACGATATGTTCATGCTGCCGTTGTCCACGGAGCAGCCATGCTAGGTGCCAAGGCAGCCAGTCACAATAAAGAGGATGGCTCTGAGCCAGAGACCCTCTGGGACATCATGGACCGCATGAGCAAGCGCGGCCGGCTGGTCGAGCCGGGTGCTGATGCTGGCGAGAAGGCGCTTCTCAATGCCAAGTATGAAGTCTTCCTGGAGATGTGCCAATCGCAACAGCTGTACCGCAAGAAGATTGACAAGGCCGTTGAGAAATGGAGCGCCGAGTTTGGCGGCGACTAGACGAGGGTAGACGAGCATACCATATCAAATAGCATGAGTGCAGGGTTGTTGATAAGGTGACATTGGGAGATGCACACGGGTTGGGTATCGAGTTTGGGATATTTTTCATGAAGTGGTTGCATATAGATATTCGTTTTATCATTTTAAGGTGGAGTCTGAAGTACTTCGTACATAGATGGTAAATTCTTCAGACGTATTTGATTGTCAATGGTATAGTGATGTATAATTCTGGAGGAATTGTACGAAATTCTGCAATTCGATGGAAAATGGAAGAAATTGAAGACATGAGAGAAGAGTATGATGAATCAAGGTGTGAGTAGAATCTGCCTTGCACCAATATTTCCGCCTTGCCCTAGCAGCCAATGACGGGTTGCTAGAGGACGTCGCTGCCAGCGCTTATTGGTCCAAGCTGGCAGCTCCCAGAAAAACGGGCCAAAACCTCCAGCCTCGTCCATCACCAAATTTCTGAAGCATACACGCTCGCGGTGGTGGTTCAGTCGCATTGCCTCGCCAACGCACTATTTTACGCACCTGCTAGCGGCTCATACGCCCTTTTTTTGTTTTCAATTTCTGCCTGACTGACCAACTGATCGATTGATTTATTCACCAAGTCATTTTAATTCCAGCTCCTTCCCTCGCTTTCTTGCCCACGGCAGACCCGCCTCCATGGCTCTCTTCGGCCAGTCGAACACTGGCGCTAGCTCGTCGCCCTTTGGGCAGCCTGCTCAGAATCAACAGCAGGCTCAAGGCGGCGGTGGCATTTTTGCTGCTGCAAACAAACCTACGGGTGGAGGACTTTTTGGACAATCGACACAGCAGAACACGACCCCTACAACTGGTACAACTGGAGGAGGCATCTTTGGCGCTGCACAACAGAATAAACCCGCTACGGGGGGGGTTTTTGGAGGCGGACAGCAGCAGACTGGAACTACGGGTGGCGGGTTATTTGGGCAAACACCACAAAGCCAAACGACGGGCACGACTGGAGGCGGCATCTTTGGCTCACAGCCTCAGGCTCAGCAGCAGCAGCAGCCTTCTCTGTTCGGAGGAACAACCGGATCTTCACTTTTTGGCGGTGCCTCTGCAGCACCACAGACGGGCGTCTTTGGAGGTAGTACTTTGGTAGGAAGCTCAGCCCAGCCCTCTGCGTTTGGCTCGACAGCGACTGTCGGTGCCACGCAGCAGCCTCAGCAAAATGCTGGTTTGTTAGGTGGTAGTCTCTGGGGTGCCTCGACTCAGACAGCTCAGCCTCAAGCTTCCCAATCGCAGCAACCCGCGGGTGCTTACTTTGACAGTTTGTTTGCCAAAACACAGAAAGAGGGTGGCGCCAAGACCAATATGGAGGACCTCCCTAGCCTCGAGCTCGGCCTAGGTGATTTGCGACATCGTCTGAGGAAACTTCAGTCCAAGCAGAACGAGAAGCCTCTGGACGGTAAAGCTCATTATTTGCTCGCTGCCTCGGGAGTAGATCCTGCCGCGGCTGCCAAGGACCTTGGCCTGCTAGACGTTCAGGGCGGGCGGGTTGAGCGCACACATGGATATGCCCCTAGTGAGATCGACGTTGAGACGTACTTGTCCAACTTACAAACGAAGACGACACTCGACATGATTTCTGATGGCTTGGAACGATCCATCCGCGATTTTGATACCTTTCTTGAGGATAACGTGGCCATGGAGTGGGACGCCCAGCGCAAGCGTATTTATCAGCACTTTGGCATCAGGCCACGAGAGGACTCGGCCGCTGCTGCTCGGGAGTCCCAGGGTGGGTTTGGCCGTTCTAGGAGAAAGTCGCAGGCTGCTGGTGCTCGAACCGGCCGAAACAGTGTATTGGGTAACACCATGCTCCAACGATCAGTTATTGGCACTCCCAGCCGAATTGGCACTCACCAGTCGGAGTTTTCTGACATGGATCGTTCCGCTGATGCATCGGGATCCCTCAAATCACGCGGTACTACTGAAGACCGAGTTCTTCGTGAAAGACAGGCCAAGTTGGCGGAGAAGGTTCGCACGCTCAACGTTGCTCGTGTTAGAAAGCATCCATTCCCTATTCTTACGGAACTGGGTGAGGTGGAACAGAAGTCTCACGAGCCACATGCGTCGCATGTAGTTGAGGCTTACCGCGCTATGATTGAGATTGTAGGGGAAGATCCGGAGGCTGAAACAACAATCAATAGTGCGACAGCCAAGGAGCGCCAGTTTGCCGGCATGTACTTGGATGAAAACCCCAACTCTGCGGCTTCTATCTCGATGAAGAAACGAATACTCCACGGCTCGACCGCCTTCCTCGAGAAGCAGTTCCTGAGGGAGGTCGAGTCTCTGATTGCCAAGCATCCTCATGAAGCGAAGCTTGGTGGCTTGCCAGACATCACCAGCAAAATCAAGGCGTACATCCGTCTTCGTTCTGCCAGAAAAGACTTGGTGCCTGACAATACGGAGCTTCAGCAGATCCAGGGCGAGTTTGTCTGGGCTGTGGTATTTTACCTGCTGAGATCTGGCCATGTGAATGAAGCAGCCCAGTATGTCAACGACAACAGCAACCACTTCAGGGGAATTGATCGCACCTTTGCGACATACCTCAACAACTACGCCGCCAGCGAGGACCGGCGGATAACAAACAGAAAGCTGTTGGACCGATGTACCAATGAGTATATCCAGCGATCGCGAAATGCTCCCGAGAACTCTATTGATCCGTTCCGCATGGCTTGTTACAAGGTCATTGGACGAATTGAGCTGAGCAACCGTAATTTGGATGGCTTAAACACCGATATCAACGACTGGATCTGGCTGCAGTTCAACCTCGCTAGAGAAGGGGACAAGACAATCGAGATGGCTGGCGAGTCATACGGTTTGGCAGAGCTGCAATCGAGCATCAAGGAAATTGGACTCAAACACTTTCCAAAGTCGACTTCGGAGGATACTACGAACGGCAGCTTCGGCATGTTCTTTTATCTGCAAATCCTAGCAGGCATGTTTGAGGATGCCATCGCATACTTGTATCCGTTTTCGTATGTGGATGCTGTCCACTTTGCGTTGGCACTGGTGTACTACGGACTGCTTCGTCCAAGCGATCCCATGTCCACATCAAACGATTTGCGCAGCTACAGTGTCAAGAATCTGCCCCAGATCAACTTTGGTCGCATGATTGGGTACTATACGAGAGACTTCCGAGCTGCGGACGTAGTGTCTGCTGTGGATTACCTCACTCTTATCTGCCTCAACAAGGACCTAGGCGGCGAGGCTGGCGAGCGCCAGAGAAACCTGTGCCACGAGGCTTTGCGCGAATTGGTGCTTGAGACTCGTGAATTTAGCAAGCTTATTGGCGATATTCGACCAGACGGCCGCGCTATTCGTGGCATCATTGAAGAGCGCGGCGCTTTGATTGGCCTCACAGAGGAGACAGACTTTGTCAACACGGTGACTTTGCAGGCGGCTAGTTTTGCAGATGAGAGCGGCCGCACCACCGACTCAGTCCTCCTGTACCACCTGGCTGGTGAGTATGATACCGTGGTGGCCATTGTCAGCCGGGCACTCAGCGAGGCCATCTCTCTGGAGATTGGTGAAGACCCAATGCGTCTCATGCCTGTCAAGCCCAGAGCCGGCGGCGCAGAAGCGGACTCTCAGCAGGGCAGCAGTCTCAGCCTAGCGTCAATCGACGACCCCGTTGAGCTAGCAAGGACCATGATGACCATGTATGAGCGTGAGGTCATGTTCTACCGCAAGATCCAGGACCAGAACAAGACGGCATGCCGTGTTCTCTTAGAAATGAGCAGCATTAAGAAGCTAGTTGAGGCCGGCCAATGGGCTCAGGCACTGGATGTAAGTTTACGCTTCCCCTATCTGCACTATCCTGCAAAAATGATGCAAGTTTAAGATTCTAACACTTGCCCCCCAGAAAATCCGCGGCCTTGAAATCCTGCCTCTCGACGCAGCCGGCGACGCAAGCACCATTCGTGCCTACGCATCCAAATTTTCGGGTCTATCGCAGCCCGTCTCCATCAATGTTCCCAACCTGCTTATGTGGACGATTATATGCTGCGTTCGACAGAGGGAGCAGCTCAGCAATGGGCAGTTTAGTGGCAATGAGGGTACGAGGAAGATGATGGTGGAGCAGTTGAAGCAGATGACGCTAGATTTGACGACGTATACTAGTCAGTTGAGGTACAGGTTTCCGCCGCATTTGCACGAGGCGTTGGCGAGGGCATCGGCGGAGTAGCTGTTGTGCTGAGGCAGGTTGTCTTGTATGATGGGCTATTGAGATGAGTGCTTGGAAATCAGGTAGTCGTTGTGGAATATTATGCTTTATATTGGGAATTAGGCAGTTCTATGTGGGCCTTGTTTATGTTTGGTGAGACGTGAGGTACGGTTAGACACTGAGGGGATGAATATGGTCATGCTGGCGTATCGTTCAGGTGCCAGATAGACTTGTCGCGTTGCTGCAAGGCATCATGAGACAGAATGGAATTGGCTTAGATGATTGTGAGTGTTTGGAGCAACGTGCCGTGTCTACTCTAGCCGGAGAGAAACCTGGCTTTGAGCATTTCTTGACGGGCAAGGAAGGCAGGGAACACCCCGTAGTGGGGCCGCTGGATCAGCAGACACTGCACTTGTTTGCAGCATTTTGGATATTGTTGGCTATGGGCTTAGGAAACAGATTTCGAGATGATGAGAGCAACCGATGAAACAGAACTTCCCATGTTGCATGCCTACTCCGTACCTTGTTACTCGGTATGTGTCGTATAACTCTCGCAGAGTTGAAATCCACGTGACGAGACAACAAAAACATGTGCCCAATGGCTCGAGCCCCTCTTGCCAATTTGCACTCGTACTCCTCCATGACTCAGGAAGGACGAGAACACGGCGCTCCTTCTGATTCAGAGCCTCTCATCCCATAGGCGAGAGTTTTGCCCAAGAATTACTTCCCCACTCGACCTTCTCCATCCATGGCGTATCGTGTGACGTCCAACCGAGCATGACCGCCCTGATCTGGATCTGGGTTGCCCTTGTGCAGCACTATCTAGCCGCAGTTGTGCCCGTCCCCTGGAGCCAGGGCAGGAAGGCCTGGTCTTTTGTTGTCTGTTTGCTTTGGTCTGATTTGCCCGGGTCCCTGCCGTTGCAGACGCACGGCGGCGGCGCGCGTCGTGTATACCGTCATACCCTCGGACGGAGCTGTGTCCGGTGCCTGGGCAAGCCGGGACACCAGCTAACTAACAGCTAGCTAGCGAGCTTGTCATCGGCAATCCTTGGCCCACACGGACGATCAATCCGGTGGCCGTTGGCCATCAGGGCTCGGAATGGCCTCTGCTGCAAGCGATGTGGTCGATAGCCCAGATGCGAGGTCGCCCAGTACCGCTGCCACTCCTGGCGCTGGTGGTACTGGGCCTGGAACCGGGGCAACTGGCATCAAACGCGGCCTAGACGGCGAGGCTAGATGTGATGAGAAGGCCACCAGTGATGGCGTGTCTGGGGTGAAGAAGAAGAAGACGGGGCCTGGGAGTCGAGGCGTGGCCAATTTGACACCTGAGCAACTAGCCAAGAAAAGGGCAAATGGTGCGTGATATTCTGGGTTGCAGTGCTGACTTACAAGACACCCCATGCGCAATGTTCCGATATCCCAATGGTAATACTTGGCTAACGTTGAATATCGATGCTCAGACCGGGAGGCACAGCGGGCCATTCGCGAAAGAACCAAGAACCAGATTGAAGCCCTGGAAAAACGCATCCGGGAACTGACAAACCAGAAGCCCTATCAGGAACTTCAGGCTGTTGTCGGGGCCAAGGAGGCAGTTGAGCAGGAGAATGCTGATATCAAACGTCAGTTGGCAAACATTATTAGCATTCTGAAACCAATTGTTGGTTCATGTACGTGAAAACTTGTCCCATGCCACCTTTCGACACCTGCCCTCTACGGGCAACCTGCAGGACTCGGTTGTGTAAGAACTGCGTAGCTAACGGCCTGTTCAGCAACATCGGGAGAAGCCACACATGTTCCACCAACTGATACATTTTCCCCGCCAACAACGGCGGTGCCAAGCCCAGGCATTCATCAGTATAGTGCTACTACACCCGCAACAACGGCTTCTCCTGCCGCAAACCTGGATCAAATCCAACCACAGTTGCAAAATCACCCACAGCATGTGTCACCTGGTCTCAGCGATGACTTGATTGGGCCGCCAGATGCCCACACGGGCTCGTATATGGCACAATTGCACAACCAGAAGCTTCAGCTGCGTCAAGGACTCAATATGGGTGGAGAACGGCTGGGACTGGACTTCTTGCTACGGCCAGGTGAGCGTGCGAGTAGGATTCAGGCTGGCGCCAACGGTGCTCAAGACTCGCCGCAGTATCGTCATGTTCCCATGAAGCACGACTGGGCGGCCAGCCAGAACGAGCAAGAAGGCCATCACCCCTGGGCCTCGTCAGACCCTTCCGGCCAACTGCCCGAGTCCTCAGGATCCGACGGGTACCGACAGGCAGGCAGTCCATCCGGCATACCACATCACCCTGGGGCACTGCAACAACATAATTCAGAAACAAACCCCAACGGCCTTCCTTTCTACGCACAGCAACTCAAGCATAGTCATCCTTCGTGTCCGTTGGATTCTTTGCTTCTCAACTTCCTCTCGGAACGCCGCCAACGCATTGCCGATGGTGTTCCCATCCGAGAAGTCATTGGTCCGCGATACCCGTCTGTGTCATCACTTCTCAATCCGTCCAACAGCGTATATAGCCATCCCCTCTCTCGAGTATTCACCGACATTCTCTCCACATTCCCCGGTATATCGCGGCTACCAGAACGCGTCGCTTGCCTCTACGTCATGTTTCACCTAATGCGCTGGCAAATCTCACCCACTCGCGAGAATTTCGAGCTCATCCCTGAATGTTTGGTTCCCAAACAGCCGCAAATGGATTATGCTCACCCGGCATGGCTTGACATGTTACCATTCCCTACCATGAGAGAACGACTAACCCAAATATGGAACCCTCGTCAATACGATCTGGACAATTGGTTCATCCCCTTTACGACGTCACTACGAGTTAGTTGGCCCTATGAGGAGGCGGATGCGCTTTTAATGCTTCCAGACTCAGACGAAGTCGTGATAAATCCAGTGTTTGAGCGGCATATACGGAATCCCGACAACTGGAAGCTCGGAAGGAGGTTTGCAAGAGCATTCCCAGAATTAACAGGCACATATGCGTTGGATCCCTCGATAGATTGCTAGGATAATCACCGGCTGTTTGTTGGCGAGTGGGGCTGGTGTATGGTGCACGGTGTACATATTCAAGGACGTGATGGAGTCGTCTGGGGGTATTATATCTTGTGCCATAAATTGCAGCCGTCTATTGACCAGTTATCCTCTGCAGACTAGTGAGTCTCACATATTACCACTAGTATCCGCAAGGAACGATCCCACCAAAACCCATCAACAACAATCTCTTGCGCCCCGTTCTCTCTATCCACACGCGGACCGCCTCAATGATTGCATTCATTTCGTCCCACTGCCCCCACCAAACCCTCAACGCCAGAAGGCTCAATCCACAAAATTCCCACCATGTACATCCACAACCACAGATCCTTCGTTTTCCCCTTTCCCAGCCGCCATTCCTCTTCCCTTTGCTCCATCCAATCTTATTAATTCGCATTACCTCAACTTCTCCTCAATGGCAGCTGATTCAGCAAATGGCGTGATTGGTTTAGTGGTAAAATTCTCCGTTGCCACCCGAGCAACGTCGGGGAGCCCTGGGTTCGATTCCCAGATCACGCAATATCTTTCTTTTTCCGCTTCGTTATTTAGATGGGATTTCCTTTTTTGACGGTGACACTGTGTTAGTTGTGCGAGTGAGGGGGGTTTGCGGATTGCTGTGGTGAGAGGCATCTGCGGGTTTCCTCTTTTTAAACTTCTCGTCTGTGGCCAGACGAGAGCTTCTTAGCACGCAGCTATTTGCTTCTTGGACGCTCTAGGATCTTGTCATGGGATATGTTACACGTGGCTGTTTAGTTGGTGACCATGAGTGAGGTTGGCATTGCCTGGATGGAACCGCTCCTTGCAGGACGTGTTCAACACATAGCCACAGAGGGCTATATTCCATGCAGATGTGAGACGGAAACAGGGCGCCAAATCGGAGTGGGTATTTTCGCGCGTGTGACGACGACACGTTAAACAGTAGCTAGTATCATGGGCAGTTCTTTGCGTGTATATCAATGGAAAGAGCAGTATGCTGAGCCAAGGTACCTAGGAAGCCAACTGACTGGGAAGAAACCGACCTCGCAACGCCGTACTCCAAAAATGTCAAAACATCTCATCCAACCGACGCAAGAGAACAGCCATCAGACCTGGTCATTAGAGGCCCTTGCCCCAAAGGAAAACTTCCTCAACGTCTGCCCTTGGCCCACCCACAAACTCGGGAGTCTGTCGCCCGTCATGCTGTGAAACATCAACGCCCGAATGGGAGTGTCGGTGCTCACGGCGCCCAGTGCCCTGCTCCCAAGTGTCCTGCCCGTGTGTAGCGAGAACAACCTGACCGTGCCATTGTCCTGCGCCGCCGCCACGACGCCCAGGTCGGGGCTCACGTCCCACCCGGTGTGGAAGTGCGCGGCATTCTTGTACCCCGGGAAGGAGAGCAGCGGCGCCGCCCCATTCGGCCCTTTCCTCAAGAACCGCATGTCGTAGAGGCCCATCTTGTCCTGCAGCCCGGCCGTCAGGACGTGGTGCTCGTTGACGCTGCGCAGGTGCGCTACGGAGCTGGGCTGGCGGGCGCAGGACCACTCCGTCACGGGGGTGCGCAGGTCCGTCGTCCAGAGGCGCGGCTGCCGGCCGCCCGCGAGGAGCACGTTGTGGTTGGAGGGCTGGAAGTCCTGGTCGAAGATTTCCTGCGGCAGCTGCGTGCCTTTGGGGGGTTGGGCCGGCGCCGCCCAGGACATGGAGTCGTCAGAGCGGACGAGCACGACGCCGGCGTTGGTGCCCATCACGCAGAGGAGGTCGGATGACGGCGGCGCGGGCGTGCTCTGGTGGACGAGCCATTCGTCGCGGATGCGGCGCTGGATGGTGAGGCGCTGGTAGTGGTCGGCTATGTGAGGTCAGTTGTACTGCGTTGGGATTCTTGCCACGTAGGCCCTGAATACATTTTCGACATCAACGCCATACAGTTGGGGAAAGGAAGGGGGGTGAAACACGGCAAAAGACGAGTCCAGAAACAAAAGGCAAAGGGACTCACTTTCTCCCAACAACCACTGCCCCCTCGTCCTGGGCTCCTCCGAAACAAGCGGCGAGAACAAGTACAGTCCGCAGCTATGATCCGGCTCCCGCGACGTCAGCAACATCTTGTGCGACGGCTCATGGTACTTGATGGACGACATCTGCGGGCACCGTATCATCTCGGTTCGGAACCGGGGGGCTCGGCGTCGTTCGCCGGTCACCGGATCCGTCCCAAACGTCAGTCTATACGGCACGTCAGTTCCCCAGGAGACTCCGAACAGACACACGTCGCAAACACCCCAAAGAGAAGTAGTTAAACATACACATCATCATCATCCGTAGAGGTATACGTCCCCAGCAGTGACTCTTCATCCAACGCTAGCACAAAGATCAGCAGCCCATTCGTATCTTGTCTCTCCAAAACAAAAAAGTAAAGCAACGGGAAAGGAAAAAGGAGGCTGGGAAAACAACAAAAAAAACAAACTCACTCGCATACACAACTCCTGTACTCCCAACCCAAAAGCAACTCATATTCACCTCCCTTCCTCTCCCGAAACTCGGCATAAACGGAACGCGCCCTTTGCTCTGCAGGCCGCCAGCCCACGCCGCAGCACCAATGTCCTCATCAAACCTCCTGCCTCGCCCATCCTCCGCAACACGAGTACACTCTACCTCCCGGCTCAATAGACCCCCAGAAACCACATCCTTCTGCAGCCCGTGTCGTTTGATGTGCCTCTTTACCAAGTCGGCCCGACGGCTGGCCTCCTGCCGAGCCGCGTCGTGGATCTTGCGCCGTTTGACAGCGCCAGAGGAGTAGGTTGCCGACAAGGCAGTCGAGCCGCTTTCCACCTTGAAGTATTTCTTTTTAGAAGCATCTGTACACCGATTAGCACGCCGTCCTCTCCATTTGATTTTTCCTTTCTTCCGAGTTTGCCTCTTCCACAACACTCCTATTCGCCCCCATATCGCTACTCTCCCCCTTGCTCAAGTCCGTGTGCTATCTCTGATTGTCCGTCTCGCTTTTGAATTTTTCCTGTTTTCACCACCCTCTTTGCCTCTGTCTCCCATTCGCTCACACCTGTGGTTCATGGTCCGCCCCCTCGTTTCTCACCTCTCTCACATCTCTGTCCTGCTTCCTCTCACCCCCACGCCCTCAACCGACTCATCCAAAAACCAGCTAGCGGAGGAGAAATAAAAAAAAAATAAAACATCAACGTACCGTAATAATACCCCGGAATCTCCATAACTTCCACAGGCTCTCTTGCCCCTTCATTCGCATTGAAAATCCGCCAGGAAAACAACGGTAATGCCAAGACCTCATGAACCAAATCCCGAGTCCGAGTCCCACAAGGCCATCAGCAAACTCTCTCTCTCGTAATCCCCTTTCCAACTATTTGCGCAACGACGATTGATTCTTTCCAGTGGCGAAAATGAAAAAGCATCATTCGAAATCATGGTATTTCGTTGACAAACCCAGGAAAACACACCAAGGCCATGGAGGAGTCCGTCGAGTCTGAGACCCGAGTAGCAGGTTTCAATCACGTGATGTGACTTTAAGCTTTTACTCCAGCCACGATTACACGGCATCGACCGCGTCTGTTTTTGGCAATGGCCAAAAAGCAACATCTTCAGACTTACTTGCATGCAGTACGTACCACTTATTTCCCAGGGGCGGGCATTGCGCTACACATCGTACAGATGCTAGGATAGAATCAAGTCCCCACGTCATCATCCCCTGCAGAATTGGTCATTGGGACCATTTACACGGAAGAATTGCACTCAAGCAAATTCTGTAAACACAAATCCATATGGTGACCGCATGGTCGACATCACTCGAAGCCACATCAAGTGTAATTATTTTTTAATTTATTCATTAGGTGTCTAGAAGACGGTATCTCTAGGGGGTAAAAAAAAAAAGAAAAGTGGCCTCCTCATCCACACCGCGTTGATGCTCACGTTCAAGACTCATACAATGCAAATTTAAACATAGTGAAAGCGAAAGAGCAGGCGCAAGGCCATGCGGGTATGTAATTGTAGAGCCGTTTTATATTTACGAAGACTTCTCGTGCTGAGTCGACACACGCTGGAGGGAGACGACTGCGAAATTGTTAGCGAGTGACCTTGACAGTGATGAACATGGAAAGCATGGTGGGGAAGCATAAACATACCAAAGTCTTCCAGCGATCGCTGCTTCTGGTCCTTCTTGGGGGACTTGCCGTGCATAAGGTTGTCGAAGCCGGCACTGCCCTGCATGAAGTAGTAGAGGCCACCCATGACGGCAAAGATGCCGAATGAGAAGATCCAAATACGGACCACAGCGACAATGGAGGTCTGGCCACCAACGAACCAACCGAAGAGACAGAAGAAGGTGGCGAGGATATCGACGACCAAGATGGCACCAGTGAGCTGCCACGAGGGGATGGAAGACCAGAAGGGGCCATTGGCACGAGTGATGAAGATCAGCCAGTTCTCAGTAAGGGAGATCTCAAGGAAGAGAACCTCGTCGAGTTTACCAAAGTTCTGAACGATACCGCCGTTCTCGCTGCCAGCAAACATGGTGGTGAGGGCAATCCAGGTTCCGATGGCCAGGACAACACCGAGGAGGACGGACATTCCCCAGAGCTTGGGCAGGTTCCACTTGACGGGGGTCTGAGAGTAAGGAGCATTGTCGTAAGCAATGGCCAAGGTGGCAATATCGGCGAAAATGGCGATGAAGACAACGAGCTCAATGTTGAGAGACTGGTTGAGAATGGCAATCCAGAGACCGAGGAAGATCTCCATGTGCAAGGACAAGGCGATACGGTAGACGACGTAAGCGTACATACGGTGGAAGATCTGGCGAGAAGTCTTGAGGGCATCAATGATGGCACCGAGACCGGGGGCAAGGAAGACAATATCGGCGGCAGAACGAGCGGCGTCGGAGGCACCCTCGACGGCAATACCAGTATCGGCCTTCTTCAAAGAGGGAGCATCATTCACACCGTCACCAGTCATGGCAACGAGGTAGCCACGCTGCTGCAGAATCTCGACGACGGAGTACTTGTGCTGGGGGAAAACTTCAGCGAAACCATCGGCAGCCTCAACGAAATCGTAAACCTCAGAGCCGGGCATGTCACCGCCGCCACCGAGACCGAGACGCTCAGCATTGTAAACATTGGTACCAAGACCGAGCTGGCGGGAAGTCTCACGGGCAATGCCAACAGCGTCACCAGTCAACATCTTGATGGACAGACCGAGACGCTTTGCCTCATTGATAGTGCGGGCAGTGTCGTGGCGGGGAGGATCAGAGCAAGGCATGATGCCAAGAATCTCCCAAGCACCTTCGCCACGCTTGCGAGCAACACCGAGAGAACGGAAACCACGGGTAGCGAATTCGGCGACACAATTCTTGTAGTCCTTGTCGACCCTCTCGGGGATGGGGTGGTCCTCCTCGACAGTCTTGAGAACGAAAAGAGGAGCACCCTTGACACAGGTGATGCGCTCGCCCTGGGGAGACTCGACAAGAGCCTGGACCTTCTTGGAGACGGGGTCGAAGGGGTGGAACTCAATGACCTTGTACTTGGACAGGACAGACTTGGCGCGGGGGTAGAACTTGAGGGCCTTTAGGAAAGCCTTGTCAATGGCGTCGATACCCTTCTTCTTGCGGGAGGCGGCCAAACAGGCAGTAAGCATCAGGTCATCGGGGTCAACACCCGGGACGGTGTAGGGCTCAGACAGTGAGAGCTTGTTCTTGGTCAGGGTACCGGTCTTGTCGGAGCAGAGAATCTCAACACCAGCAAGAGACTCAATGGCGGACAGCTTCTGGACAATAGCCTGCTTCTTGGCGAGGTAGGCAGCACCGACGGCCATGGTGGTGGTGACGACAGCAGGAAGACCGACAGGGACACCGACGATGGTGATGGCCAGGGTGAAGCGGAGAATTTCGACAATACGGTTGGATCGGTAGAAGGAAGAGATCCAGACAACCAAGAGGGTGACGATGACGAGAATCAGCAGAATGGTACCAATGCCGTTGAGGACCTCGGTGAAGTGACCAGTGCCACCAGCGGACTGAGAAACGAGAGCAGCGGCACGGCCGACGAAGGTGTTGTCACCAGTGGCAGTGACGACGATGAAGGCCTCACCACGCTTGACGGCAGAGGAAGCATAGCAGTTGTCGCCCTTGTGCTTGTCGACAGCCAGCGACTCACCAGTGATGGCGGACTGATCAACCTGAAGGAAGGCATCCTCAGTGACAATGCGACCGTCGGCGGGAATAATGGTACCCTACAAACAAACGAAGGCGGTCAGTACGCAATTGATTTGATTCTTTACACAGAGTCTCTTCTCTACAAGTCGTGAATTGCAGGCTTGCACCAGACTGTCTGCTGCCACCAAATGGACCGCCGACCAAGTACCAAGTGCCAAGCGCCAAGCGCGAGATGCATGGCATTATTTGCCAAGTGACCGGATGCGCACACAACAATTGCGCTGCAGAGACTGGCATGTGTGCTATTACGCCATGGCGATTCGTGTTGGTGGCAGTCGGGCCGGCGGGCAACTTGGGTGGAGCTGATGGCGCGACAAGCACAACAAAGCGACCCGGGGGGTTTTGGGAACGTATTGGAACTCACTTCCTCAACCTGGAGGATATCTCCGGGAACGACTTCGGGGGCCTCAATCTCCTTGAGGGTGCCATCACGGAGGACGACGGCCTTGAGAGCGAGAGTCTTCTTCAATTCGTCGACGATAGATCCGGCCTGGTATTCCTGGACGAAACCGACACCAGCGTTAAGCAACAGCAGGGCGCAAATGACACCGAAATCGACCCAGTCCTCGAGACCAGCGGCCAAGACAGCGGCAGCCTATAAACAAAACAAAGAGACCCCGGTTAGCCCACCGAACACAAACAAATCAGATGGTAACAAATAGAACAGTACAACGATCGGCGCGGACGGGCGCGGCGCAGAGAAAAAAGCTTGCTATGACACAAGCCAGTCCAGAAAAGGACCGATGGAGCCAAGGCTGGAGCCAGGCCCCAGGCCAGGTCCCAAAAGACAAGCCAGAAGACCAGTCGAGGGAGCGAGCAGCAGGCCGTGGGAACGTGCGGAACGGGCGAATGTGTCGGATGGATCGGCTTGGACTGGTCGGCATCAAAAAACCATCAAAACCCACTTTCGCACGTCTATCCACTGGGCGTCCCCACCTGGAGCCAGCCAGTGTAATGAGCCAATTGCTGCCGGCCCACCCGAGCTCCTATGGGGCTAGTAATCTGCGCCGGCCACGGAAGACCAAAAAAACGCGCGAAAAAGAATGCAAGTGTGGGCAAAAACAATGGCCATTGGGAATGTCGCTGCATCGCTGCCAAAAGAAAAACATTGTCTGTTTTTTTCCCTTCGCAGTGGCCCCGATGACGGGTACATGAATGGAAGTGAAATAAGAAAAAAAAAGAAAACAAGCGCGGAGGATAGCGGAATTGAACAGGAATAATATGGTGATGAAGGCGCACGGACAAGCAGACAGAACTGGCTGCGAGCCAAGGCATCCTGGGTTGGAAATGCAAATATAAACGCAGCAGCCATTGCCGCGCCAAACAGTGTCAAATGGAAAAAAACACAACAATGTGTGAGACTCACCTCCATGACAAACTGGATAGGACCAACGAAGTAGGAGAAGAACTTAAGAATCAAGTTCTCCTTCTCTTCCTTCATCTGGTTGAGACCGTACTTGCGGCGACGGGCAACCACCTCGGACTCGGTAAGACCAACACGGCTGTCAGTCTGGAGCATCTCCTCGGGAACGACGCGGCCGCCACCGGGTGAGCCCTCTTCCTCCTCCTCGTCGAAGCCTTCGTGGCCATCCTGTGACTCGAGGTCCTCGATCAGGGCATCAATGTCCTCATCCTCGTCGTCCTCGGCAGCAACATTCTTGGGGACCTGCGCAGCAGGAGCCTGCTGTCGGTGCTGCTGGGCCTTCTCGTCGAACTTGCCCGGCTCAATGTTGGTGTCCAGCGCAGGTGCGCCGACCTTGTCGTCAGCCATGGCGATGTGTGCAGATTATCAAAATCTTTTTTGAGGGTATTATTAGGTCTAGTTGGAGATGTAGAGTCTTAAGGTTGATGTCGCCAGTCTTGGAAAAAATAACAAAATTACCCAAGAACGCAAGGTGTAAATCACCGTAGGGGCGGAGAGGGGATGAGAGAGAAGAGTGAGTGTCGAAGCACCACACGAAGGAGATGTAATGGTCACTTAGGGGCAACGCATTCGTGGGTATTGAGAAAAGAGGAAGGGGGAGAAGAAAGTCGGAATCTGGAGGGATGGGTGGGAGGGACTATTTCAATGAGTGCGACGATTCCAATAGCGTTTGGGCCAGAGAGGACCGTCACATAGGAAAGCACCAAGGAAAGCATCCAGCAAGACGCCATCAAACATGCAGAGCCGGTTCGAACATGGGAACCCACTCTGGGTCTGAGTCTGCGTCTTCCTGGCGCACCCGCGAAAGCTAGAATCCAGACAGCATGGGCCACAATTGGCTTCTCCGGGCCCTGTTGTCGCCTTGTCGCCTCACGTCTCTTGTCTCTGGCCATCAAGTCGCTCATACTGGGATGCTGGCGCTGGCAATATGAGCTACAAAAAGCTAGCACCGTATGTACATACAATACAATGCCAATGCTACGTACTCCGTACTCCGGCCCTGTGGGCTCGGGAACCTGGTTGCGATTGCTCGCTGGCTCGCTCGCTCCATGTCGAATTTTCCATTGGGGGGGGACATGGGGGAGGGGTGTGGCTTGGCCTGGCTCCACCCGAGTAAAAAAAAAAGTCACGCCGGCCGACCCAGGAACCAGTTCGACCAGCAAGAGCGCGCAAGAGAGTGGAGGGTGTGGCCGTGGGCTTGGGCTTGGGCAATTGTGACGGCATGCGAACTTGGAGTGCGTGGGTACATGTGTACCTGAGCACCCGGCCGTACGAATTGAGTTTCGGCCGCACAGTGCGTGTCTCGCACTTTAGCTTGACCCAGCAAAGCAGGTACCTGGGTACGTGGGCACGTAGGCGAAGTCTGGTTCAGTACTGGTCTTTGCTCCCGGCCGTACTTGGTAGCTGGCGGCGCCGGACGCCGGAGGACACTGGGCGTTGATGACTGAACTACGGAGTACGGCACCTGGGACCACTGCATGTTGTCTCGTGACGCATAGGGGCCATTGTCATGCTCGTCGAGCGATTGTGTGATTACCTAACCTAGCCTACTGGGATCGGTAGTTACTCCAGCTTTCGGAAACTGTTCTAGCACATCTGGTCAACAAGTCCGTCATGATTCGTCGCGGTCGCAGAGCTTGGATTGAAACTTGGAGCAAATGTGTCCTTGCTGTAGGCGGGATTGCCAAGCCGTCGGGAAGTGCGCATCATTTTTACAGCTGCACACGGTCCCCGTCCAGTGTTTTGCGGCCGCTCTTCACAGTGTCTCCCTGGCGAAACCGCACAAGGCATGATACCAGGCACCTCCAAGTATTTCCTCGAGATGCTAACCCAGGGCGGGAGAGTTATTAGTTCTACTCCGTTCTTTTCGTAATACCTACTCGGTAGTCAGGTTCCAGGTGCCCCCTGCTAGCCAGTCCTCAGAGCCTGCCGTGTCCAAGTGCGTCACTTGGCGGATTCAGAACCTCTCCATTCGCCTTGTTTTGCGCTGAAGCGCGCAAACACTGGCACCCATGTCTCGCCCACGGATTGATAGATGAACATGCTCTGGGTGGCTTCGTCGGTCTTCTTTTCATCACTCTTCGTCTTCCACTTGAGTAAACGGGCGGTGTCGGTGACTCGCACATTCGGCAATGGCCCCCCTGCTCTCAATGCTGCTCTGGAGGCCAGGGTCCTTCGCCTCTCGATTCAGTCGAGTTGACGGCTCAGGCCTGTTGTTATTGGTTCTCGCTCTGTGCGTCTTTCGGTATTTGAGCCTGTTGCTAGCTCGACTGTCTAGTGCATGCGGGGCCAAGGCCTTGATATAGCACACTGACTAAGCTCGTAAGCTCTTTGACACACTCTTACGGAGTACAATTCAATGGATGGAACCTATTGCTAGGTAGTTTGTTCCGAGACGTAATATTTGATGCTTCCCATCACCTACAGGAACACGGCACTAGGTGTGAGCGCGTGGCAGATAAAGTGGGCCTTAGACCCCTCTTGCCCAAATCGGAGCTGCCCCATAAAAATTTTTGAGATACAAATTGCGACTCACATCCGTCCAAGTCTTGTCAGGATAAATCCAATTCTGGCGAACACGCAATCACTCATAGCTTGAAATGAGCCCAGAGTCTCCTGTTGTTGGCCTCCTCGGGGGCGGGCAGCTAGGGAGAATGCTTTGCGAAAGTGGGGCCCCTCTTGATGCTCAGATTGCCGTGCTCGACGCGGAAAATTGCCCGGCTAAGCAAATCAACAACAATCGCCATCATGTCACTGGTTCTTTTAAAGATGCTGCCAAGATCAAAGAGCTCGCTGCGAACTGCGACGTTCTTACCGTTGAGATTGAGCACATTGAGACCGAGGTTCTCGAGGAAATTGACACCAATGGCGTACAAGTCCGTCACGCTGACGGGACCACGACAAACAAGAAGGTCAACGTTCACCCCTCATGGAGGACTCTTCGTCTTGTTCAGAACAAGTACGAACAAAAGGAGTATTTAAAGGAGCAAGGAATACCAATCGCTGAACAAATGGCAATCGAATCTGGCGATGCTATGCTTGCTTCGATGGAGGAAGCCTCCGAAAAGTTTGGCTTTCCCTGGATGCTGAAAGCCCGAAAGGACTCCTATGACGGCCGTGGCAACTTCAAGATTTCCAACAAAGTAGACCTAGAGCAGGCAGTCAAGGAATTCGGCAACTTATCATGCTATGCCGAAAAATGGGTCCCATTTGAGCTGGAACTAGCGGCCATGGTCATCCGAACAGAAGACGATAGCGGCAAGATGAAGCGTGTTATTCCTTATCCCGTTGTCGAGACGGTCCACGAGGATAATATCTGTTCCAAGGTCTTCATGCCTCCGCGAAATGTGTCCGAGAATGTGTGCAGAAAGGCGCAGAAGGTTGCGACATCTGTGGTTGAGAAGCTTTGGGGCAGAGGTGTCTTTGCCGTCGAGATGTTTTTGACAAAGGAAGGTGATATCATCTTCAACGAGTGTGCCCCTCGACCTCATAATAGCGGCCACGCCTCCATCGAGTCTGTCCCATACATGTAAGTGAACCCACTTGTAGTAGCTTAGAGTCGTAACTCACTTGCAATAGGTCCCAGTTCAAGGCTCAGCTGACTGCAATCCTCGATGAGCCCCTTCCCGAGGTTTTAGAACCACACGTCTCATCCAGCATCATGATCAATATTCTAGGCGGCGCTGACCCAGACTCTCACCTGCCTCTTGTCGAGAAAGCCAAGTCCATGTATGGCAGCCGGACAGCCGTCTATGTGCATCTCTACGGCAAAGAGTCCAAGCCCAGCCGTAAGATCGGACACATTACGGTCACTAGTTTCGGTTCAATTACGGATTTAGAGGAGTTCGCTCAGCCATTGCTCAAAATGACTGACGCCATTCGCCAGGAACGACTTCAGGCATCAAGCAAAGCATTGCGTCCTCAGGCTGCTCCTACCCCAGGCAAGCCAAAGGTAGCAAAGGGAAACCCTCTTGTCTTGGTTACTATGGGCTCAGATTCCGACCTTTCCGTGCTCAAAGCTGGTATTGACATCCTAAATCAGTTTGGCGTTCCCTGGGAAGTTGATATTACCTCCGCACACCGAACGCCTGCCAAGATGGCACAGGTTGCCATCGATGCGGCGGATCGCGGGATTAAAGTGATAATCGCAGCGGCTGGGGGTGCAGCTCATTTACCCGGCATGTTGGCAGCATACACACCTCTGCCTGTCATTGGTGTGCCAGTCAAGGCTACGCACCTGGATGGATTGGACTCCCTTCTTAGCATTGTCCAGATGCCGGTATGTAACGTTTAGCCCTCATTCTCTTATATGCATGTGCAGACAACAGCCTGGTTGCTGACACCGACACCTCAAAGCGCGGTGTGCCCACTGCTACGGTGGCAATCAACAATTCCACTAATGCTGCCTTGCTCGCCATCCGATTTCTTGGCGCCTTTATTCCCGATCTACTGGAGAAGATGAAGAAGTATCAGCTGGAGATGGAGCATCAGGTCAAAGACAAGGCCACCACATTGAGGGATATTGATGTGGATGCATATCTGGCAAAGATGGGCAAAAAATAAGGATTGTACATATGTGGCGAATATGCTTGCATTTGGCAGCACGTATCGACGTCTGCTTTGATAGACTTTTTTGGAAGAGAGCATTTCAAATGTGGCAATGAGATGCAGGTTGGAAGTGTGGGAAACAAACAAAGCCAAGTCAGCAGGCGTTTTGTGGCGACATGATTTCCAATAGACAATGAGTCCATGCAGTCAGAAATCGTCAGCGAGTTCGACTAACGAATTATGTCAGGTCTAATTGAAACATGGACCATGGGGATATAAGCTAGTGCGTCGTCGATCTTGGCTTCATCTACGCAAGTCCATCGGCGCTCATAGCCAGGAACAATGATGAACCGAATGCCGTCATACTAGTAATGCTAATGCGAATATTAGCTAGTTGCCAGCAAATTGTGTCCGACTCCCATGTAGGTACGAGTACGTTCTGCACTCGTGCCAATCCGCATTGCCTTTTATGCAGGTATCGTCGCAGGACTGCTGTTACCCTCCCAACCGCTGACCTGGGTGTCCAAACGCCTCATGACTGGTCTCTTCTGTCATAATAAGACACAAAAGCTTGGCGGCAAGCCTCACCTGGCATTCCGCCAGGACGCCACAGAGGCCGGCAACATAGTACGTACTTGGCAGTCATTTTCACTCGCCCGCTGGATTGTTAGCCCACAGCCTGGTACTTGACTAGGTACTCATAATGGCATATGTATTAGCTCCAATGGCAGGCAAGTGCCGCATCTTAGCGTGCAACTGGTAAGCCCCTTTGCCCTTGTGTGTTTTATTATAGCCGCAGA